CGGTCCCTTATCAAACGACTATCCATATTAAGTGGCCATTAACCTCATCAAACATTTCGGTCGAACAGTAGATACACACACACACATATGTATGTACACACCAGTCGTAACTGTACCTGTGTGGTGGAGGGGGGGAGTGGTAGCCCTCCCATCAAACCCATGTACCTGTGCATTATTTACATATCAGAACCAGCTCGAAGTGGGGAGGAAAGCGCCCGCATGGCAACAAATACAAATACACAGCGAGCCCCAAGGGGGAGGGCACATGGCCAAACAATCGCAATTTACATAAGAGAACAAGAGATAGATAGAGAAGAGAAAGAATGCGAACAAAAGCTTAGCATAAAATATTTATAAATATTGCGTATACGTAATCGAATTGATTGATTTTGCAATTTCACGCAAGGCAAGCAAAGAAATGCCAGGACGACCAGCAGGAGGAGTCCCAGGGCCAAACAACTAAAGGTCACACACACACACACACACACAGGGGTCAGGGGGAGGATACTCTCCGGGATTTTTGGGGCGGGTAAAGTACGGAGCCGCTTAAGTGATTTCTAAGAGCGGATCCACAGATCCAGAGATAAAACACATTATGGTAATGTGCACACAGTAACAAGTTAAGGACACGCCTCCTCACCCCCACATGAAGACTTAAGTTCCACCCACACACACACACCCACACCCACACCCACCCACACAGCGAAAGAGTAATCCTTTATGGCCAGAAAGCCAATGACTCTGCTTTTGACCATCGAATCGGTTGAATTACAAATGGTTTTCCTTTCCTTCGCTCTCTTCGCTTGTTTTTGCTCCATTGGCTCCCCCCACTCCACGCCAAAACGGTTCGAAAAGTATCCGCAATCACACAGCGGCACGTGTTGCTGTCAAGGACAAGGAAACGGATCTCCTTCCGTCCTCTGTCCGGGACTCTCTCCAACTCTGGGCAAAAGGGTTTAGTGTTTAACAAAAAATGATTGGTAATTTGATTCTTTATTACATTTTCCAAAAGGGAAACGCGTGGAGGCGGCGGCGGCTACTGCTGCTTTAAAATTTATGAAATTTGTCCCCTCATTTGAAAGGGTGTGAAATGGTGCGTGGGGGGGCATGGGGGATCGGCGTGGGACGGCCACAGCCTGAGGTTCATAATTGTCGCAAATTTTGTGGCCCAGAGGATTTTATGATTATGTCATGCATTTAAGAGTTGATTTTGTTTGATTTCAACGAGAAGGTGTGGCGGAATTTTGAAGACTTTTTAAGAAATTGAAGGCATACTTCTAGGGAATAAAAGACTTCTAAGAGACCTCTAAAAGTGGCCTAATTTTGAAGATATTTTTAGGTATATTTCTAAGAAATTTAAGGTATATTTCTGGGGAGTAAAAGACTGCTAGGAGACCGCTAAAAATGGCGGAATTCTGCGGAATTTTGAAGTTATTTCTAGGCATATTTCTAAGAAAATTGAAGGCATATTTCTAAAGAATAAAAGACTTCTAGGAGACCACTAGAAGTGGTTGGAAAACTTTGTAGTCGTGAACCTGAAATAAATCTTTATATTCTTATAGAAAGAATTTATTTTTTATGGAATTAATCGATTTTTATCGAAACAATCGATTTATTATCGAAAACTTCTATCTTTGTCGGAAGAAAAAATATAATATCGAAGTAAATCGATCAAAAAATAAATTTATTTATCGAAGTTGATGGCGTATATTTTTTTTTATAATATAATCGATATATATCGAAAGTTTTCGATTTTGGATGGCACATTTATTGATTAAATAAGATAAAGAAGTTACATTTTTTTGGCCACTTTCTCATAGGAATTTTGGCTGTTAATCGACTTTAAATTCCTGTGGAAATTCGTCTACCCAACGGCTTAAGCCACATTTATAGATCTCCTTTGTAAAACCCTTATACTATTGTATCTTTGATTTACTCACCACAAACAAAGCTGCCCAGAGACTTTGCTGAGACTTCCAATTGGTGTTCGTCGACATTTTTATCTGCATTTTCTCGTAATCATGATTTTATGCTGCAAACGAGAAACGAAACGAAACGAAACGTGCAAATATATTAATTAATAATCAGATTTATTAAAGAAACAGCCAGACAAACAAATTGAAATTAATGTACCATACTTAACAAGTGGAAGAAGCGAATATTTCACGCCTTGGCGACCCCAGAGGGGAGAGTGGGGCACCCCTTTCACATAATTAAGGAAAAACACAACAGAGCGGAGCGTTGAACGATTAATGAAGCAAAATGCCAGCTGATGGCAGCCCCCAAGGATAAGGATGGGGGAGATATATGAGCGGACAGGCTTTGGAGACAGGAGACCAGCAAGAAGATGCACCCCCCCGGAAGCCCAAGCCCCAACGAAACGTAATAAATACGTTTATGGCATTGGGACATTTGTCATTCAAATTAAGTACAAACGACATTATTCATTTTCCGAAAACGGGGCCAGCAGGAGCGAACCCAGAAAGGAAAAGGAAAATTTTACAAATTGTATTTACATTTGGCAAAAGGCAAACGCATTTACTTTCTTCAGGGCTTTCTTCCTGGCTTTGTTTTCTGGGGAAAATAATGTTACCTTTTTTTTGGATATTTCCTTGTCTGGTAAAAGGAATTCCCTGTTTCTTGGCTTCAAAATTTAATTGAAATTTATGGACATTTTAAATGCATTAAAAAATCTCAAAAGTCAAAAAATACATGTCCAACAAGGTCTATTAGGGAAATGAATATTAATTTGCAGGAAAAAAAACCCCCCCCCTAGATCCCTTTTGCCCTCAAATACTTTCCCAAAAATGAAAACAAAATTTGTGAGTTTCGGCTCTAAAAATAAAACCCAAAACCGATTAAATAATTGCTTTAAAGTTCTCCAGGTTCCATTCTCAGCTAAAATCAATTTAAATACACGCCGGGGAGCAATCAAAAGTTTGCCCTGGAAACACGAGGCACACCCAGAGGTCGCCCCACAAATTGGGGCACATATTATTCCAATGAAAGCAACAGAAAAAACCCCCTCCCTGTAGGAGCCATGGATATTAATCGAGTATGAAGTTCGGGTGGGGTGGGGTGGGGGCACATTCCCCTGGTAATTATAGATGGGAACCCGCCCCCTTCTGTCGGCAGACAGTTGTCAACGATGAGGTGGTTTTCCCCCCTGAAATATTCCATCAAAAATCACAAGCACAGGTCATAAATTAAAATCGTTTCGTGCCCCTTGTGGCACATACACCGCTCCTGTGGCACGTGGGCGTTCACGCAGGTGATTTTATGTGGTTTTTATGTGCGGTTTCTGGGCTCTGGTCTCTGGTCTCTGGCCTCTCCATTTCAGGACACATTTTTCGGTTTGTTGCGTAATGTAATTAGATTTTCCAGTAAGAGTTGAGGGGGGTGTGGAGGGAGTGTGGGGTGTGGCGTGTGACGTGTGAGGTGTGCGGTTAATTAGAGTTTTATTTGCTTGAAATATGTATGAACAACAAGTCGGTGAAAAGAGATTTCTCTTGAATAAATATTAAAACAAGAAATGTACAGAACATCTGTTGTTATTTTCCGGGGGTTTCAAAGGGAAATGGGCTGGAAATAGTGGTAATTCTTGAGGAAAAACTATCCAAAAAGGAAGTACATTATGAGTACGAGATGATCGCTGAATATATGGGCAGAAGAACAGTCAAATTTATGACTAGTTTTAAGGAAAATTAACTTGGAAATCATTTTTCATCACGAACTTCCTCCAATGGCTGGTATCAGAGCCCATTTATCTTTCTTCTGGTTATGATCTAGGGTTCTACAGCATTTATTTCCTTTAAATGACTTCCACATTTATTTCTCCTTCCATTTGGTCTTTTAATTCCATAGAAATCTCAGTTTATTCCACCTCAAACCATCTCTAAAATCTCTTTCTCATGGCATAATCCTTGGTTTCCTTCCCAAAATCTCTTTTCAACCCGATTTCCGGTTGTTTTATTCCCGTTCCAATTTGCATATTTCGTTGTGCAATTAATTAAAAAATTAAAAACTCGATTTGCTACACAAAGAAAACCGAAAAGCGTCCCCCTCCCCCCTCCCCCCCTGCCCACAAAAATAACAACAAAATAAGGAAAGGGAAATAAAAGGGAATACTTGAAAAAATAAATTAACTATGCTCTTTTTTTCGTAGCACCCCCTGCCCATCCGAAAACCCCCCTCCAGCACCTTTACCTTTTTGTCCCCCTCCATTCTCTGACGTTGTCATTGTCAATGCCCCTTGTTGTCGTTGTCGCTGTCGTTGTCGTTGTTGTTCTTTGTTGGGAAAATGTTGCGCATTGAACTTTTAATTAGCAGACAGAAGGCATGAGGCATGAAGGGGCACAGCACAGCACATACAATGGGTGGCAGGTGTATTGTGCCCCTATGTTTCCACCCCAAAAAGGGGGGTAGGGAAGGGGACTGCTGCACCACAAAGTGAAATTCATTTCTATGCACAGATTGTGTTTGCCTCCAGAGAAAAGAAACGGGAATGGGGAGGCAGGGAGGCACAGGGGAACGGTGGCAGGGAGGCACAGGGGAACGGAGGCAGGGAGGGGCGGAGGCACAGGGGGAGTGGGCTCATACACATGTGCTTGTTGTGGCAAGGGAATTCTGTTTTGGGGCCATTGGGCAACGATCGATGATCGGTTCCATGCGGCAAGGCGGCTCCCCCTCCTATTTTGGTACGTTGGAGTAAGGAAAAGTAATCTTAAATCGTGTGATGGGCATGCCTCCAACCACCAACCACCAAAAATTAGAGATATACATACATACATATATATATAAGTATTTTTTTTGTATTTTTAAATTGTATTAGAATTATTATTTTTATTATTCAAAAGGGTATAACAAGGCTTCCAATGCTCAATTCTATAAACATTTATTAAACCCTTTCCCCTGCCACACCCTGGATGGTGCGGGGGAGGGGAAAAGCAAACCAACCGAGGGTGGCCTTTGAAAAACTGTAAAACAAAACACTACTCTACTCGCATTGTACTCGGCACTTTTCGGCAAAACACTCACACTTTTTCAGAGCACAGAACACACACTTTTGCTTCCCTCAAAAACCAAGAGCCCAACCAATAGACCAATGAATTTTCGCTGGCCCAAAACTGTCGTTGAGGCGATCAACAATGAAATAACAAATGGGAACTCCCCCGTGGACACAACGCAGGAGAACCAGTTGCTTACTTATATAATCTAGCGTAAGCGATCCTTGAGATAAGGTAAGAAAAGGGATATTCTAGGGGTGCAAAACAGTGATGTTTCCTAGTGGGTTTCCCCCAGATCTTGAGGCAATGGCTTCGTGTCGGGCCCCCGCACAGCCCCGGCAACAGCAGCCACAGCAGCCGGCGTGTCCGCCCATGTCCCTGCCCGTCTCGTATCCCTACATGGACGCGCAGCAGCTGCAGCAGTTCTACATCGCCCAGATGCTGCAGCCGCAGCCCCCCCTCGGGCCCAACGTGTACGTCCAGCCCTGGTACATGTGCCAGCCGCCGTCGTGCCAGAACTACGGCTACTGCTACGGCATGCAGATGCCACCCAGTGCCATGCTGCCACAGGACTGTAGTTGCCCCTCAAACACACCATCCATTCAGGTGCGTAAAGGATCTTGTCCGCCCTTCGCCCCTCAACCTCCGATCTTTAGTCCACAGGATCGGAAAACAGCACGGGGAGTTGCTGCAGACCCACCACCAGCACAAGATGCGTGCCCCAGGATCGCAAGCGATCTCCTGCCGGTGGCAGGACCTACCAGCAGTGCAATGTGCCGCTTCCGGAGACCGCCTGCGGTTGGTGTGGCAGCCTCGACAGCTTCGAGTCGGATGGCAGCGCCCTGTTGGAGGCTCAACGCTATGCGGCATGCAGCATCTGTCCAGCGCCCAAGCTAAAAGAGATTCAGAGAAGACAGCAGCAGGAAGAAGTATCCCAAAACGATTCAGAAATGGAGCAAAACCTCGCTTCAAAGAAGGAGCACAAGATTGCTGCAAAAAAGTTCCACAGAATCGATTCGGAGAATGGGTCACAGAATGGGTCAAAGATCGATTCCGAGAATGAGGAGGAAGTAATCGATTCAGAGAACCATTCAAGAAAAGCTTCTAAGAAGGAGCAAAGGAAAGATCTAAAGAGGGCTCAAAGGCACTTTTCCAAGGAGGAAAGGGGCTCTTCCAAGGAAGAAAGGGACTCTTCCAAGGAAGAAAGGCACTCTTCCAAGGAAGAAAGGGACTCTTCCAAGGAAGAAAGGGGCTCTTCCAAGGAAAAAAGACACTCTTCCAAGGAAGAAAGGCACTCTTCCAAGGAAGAAAAGTGCTCTGCCAAGAAACACCACAAAGAGGCCATCAAACCCGCGAAACCTGCGAAACCCGCCACACTCAAGGAGGACATCGACAGCGCGCTGGGCAGCTCCGCCAGTAGCTTCATCAAACGCTTGGGCGTGCTCATGCGCCATCGCTCCACCCGGAGCTCCGTGAAGCGAAAGCAAGCCAAGGCCCCACCAACTCCGTGCCTCACTCCGGCCTGCTCGAACACCAGTTCGGAGTCCCTGCGGCAGCCACCCATGAAGTCCAGCTTCTTGAGCCGTTTGTTCGGCGAAGTGCGCGACAATGATATGGCCTTCTATGCGCAAAAATCCAGATGCAACATACAGCCCCAACCAAGTCTGCATTCGGATAGTCTGGAGCAGCTGGCGGCCTTCAAGAAGCTGCGAAAGAAGCAACGGCTTTCAGCCAAGGGTCCCTATGAAATATAAACCATACCCTGAACACCAATAGGCAGATTTTCAAGTGTATTTCAAATTTCAGGCAATAAAATTAACCGAAGCGAGCAATTCGAGTCTTTAATTGGCGATCTGCCAGATGATTCTTTGGAATTTAAGCAATTTCCTCAGTAAATCCTTAACGAAGCAGTCCAGTCCCGCCCTGTCTAGTCGGATTTTCCTACAGCTCATCAAATCCAGCAGAACCAGAGAACCACCCAGCCAGAAAAACAGACGGACCGACAGACAGCCGCACATGAGAGGCAAAGCGGGTTTTTCAATTGATGACGCAAAGGCAATCGACGGCGGCTCATTAAACGACCATCAAGGCTTATTAATTTTGACATTTCAATGGCCATATATCATTATCAGTCAACAGGGTAGGGGAGGGGGGGCCATCAACAGCCGTCATCAGAGCCATCAACAATCCGTCAGTCGGTTACAGTCGGTTACAGCATCCACGGCATCCACGAATGGACAGGCAATAATGCCGCCAGACAAATTCCCAACACGAGAAGAATGGGTGGAAATTTGCCCAGTTAACAGGCCAACAGGCTAATCAGCCTCGTTACCGACTTGGTAACACACGGTAAGAGCCCTTGCCCCCAACTCCCACCCCCCCACCACCAACCCCTTGAAAACCTAACGATTTGACTCTTTTTGTTGTGGTTATTTTTGGAAAAACTCGGTAGCTGAAAATATTTGGAGGCTTATGAAATGTGTTACGAGAGGGGTTTAAGGAGTTTTCCATTTTCCATTGGCAGGAATTCTATCAAGAATATTTTAATAGGTTTTCAGGCATAATTTAGTCTATTTTTATAAATTTCTAAATTATATAAATTTAAATAATCAATTTATACATTTTTATAATAAATTTCTAATTTTTACAAACCAATCGAGGGAGAAAAGGAAGTCTCAAAAGGGAGCTTTAAATTTGAGAGACTTTAGGGCCATGTTTTCTCGAAATATTTATTGCTATTGATCCATTTGATTGCTCAACTTTTAGCCATATTTCTCTACCTCTTTAGGCTCCCACTTCGAATGCCTCTAACTGAAAGAACATTTCTTTTATTGCTCCTTAAAATTGTACAATTTTCTTTAAATTCTATTTTAAAATTATTTATATTTTTCTATTTAAATAATTGAATTTAATTAACAATTTCTTGGACTATTTAAAGCTTAAAAAATACACTTATTGCTTAATTTTTCTGTGATTTTTGTTTTAAATATTCAAATCTCTCCCATTATTTTTATTCCATGTGGAAGAACTGCTGTCAAAAATTATAATACTAATAAAAGAAAACTTGGTATTAAAAATATTATTTTGCTAAATTTTAATAGTGAAAATTCTTTAAAAAAAACGTGCCCAGATCGACGAAATTAGAAGAACAGCGTGACACCTTTTTTTGTAAGCCAAATTTAAGACCATTTTGCGTTTAAAAAATTATTAAAAATAATGCACCAAAGTCACATTTATAGAAAATTAGCCGATCTTATAGAAGATTAATTAATTTATCAAAAACTATTTTTGTTCTTTTAAAAATCTCTTAAAACAGCAGTGCAACACTAAACACTAAAGTCCGGCACTGTATGTGTTTAAGGGGGTTTAATTAGTTAAATTCCAATAAATTTAGTAAATAATATAGGAAAAAAGTATTTAGAAATTGATTTTATTTTGTTGCTAACCAAAGAAATGTCCATATATCACCCCGAACTATTCAATCCACCCTTTGTCGCTCTCTCTCTCTCTCGCTCTCTCTCTCTCTCTCGCTCTGTCTGTCTCCTCATTAACATTTCAATACCTCGCGTACGCGGACTGTCAGAAAGGGCGGCCTGCCCTTTGTTTGGCTTTCGCTTGGGGTTTTGTTCCTCGTATTTTTTTTTGGGCAATGCAATAGCAGTGGGGCGTGGCAATTATGTTTGCCCCGTCATTAGTGACGGCTCAGAGCAGAAGGTGCGACGACAACTTCAATTGCGACTCCGACTCCGACTCCGATCTCTCTTTGGAGGGAGCGCAACGCTTGATTGAAGCCCACGCACAGGTAGCCCATGGCACCGTACCCTCCTCCCCCTCCCCCCATCATTGGAATACATCTATTTATTATCAGAATTTCGAAATATACCAGGGGAAGTGAGGGGAAGGGGAAGGGGAAGAGCAAATTGGTTTTGGGGGAAACTTGTTGGCCCCTGCAGCAGTCATCGTTGAATCGAATTTGCAGTCATCTAAATATAAGAAAAATACCAGAAAATGCCCCCATCCCGGGGGGGGGTGCTGTTTCACCTTTCTTTCTCCTGCACACAGCTCCAGCCTGCCCCCGCCCCCCTCCCTGCAACCCTGCTCCTTTGGGGCTCTGGTCCTCCATTCACCTTCTCGACTTGACGATGTTGCCGTTGACAGGCGAGCGAGCAATAAGTTTCAAATAGTGCCGACAGTTCCGTCGAACGTCTCGTCGCTCATGTCAAACGGAATCAAGATGAGCGCGGGGAGGCAGGCCCCCAAAGAGGGGGCCACGAAATCAACAAGAGGGGGGAGGGCGAGGGCAAGTGGCAGTATGATTGAGAAGGGGATTACAGGAAGGGGATAGCGGACAGGGGAGAAGGTGAGAAAGGAAGAAGTAATCGAAGCATTGCCTGTAGCCTGCCTGCCTGCCTGCCCGCCTGCGTCCTCTCCTTGAACTCTGATGCCGTTTCGATTTCAATGAATTTCATTCAAGTATTTTGGCATACTACACTCGGAGAAATTTGTGGGAAAAATATATGCCAATAGATGAAGGAAAGACTCTAAGAAAATAAAGAGTAAAAATGGAGGAAAATTGTACACAAATTTATTTTATCATCTTCGAAAAGGAAATCCAAAAAAAAATTATAATTAAAATATTTCAAAATAAAAATATATAAAAAAAGATTCATATATAAAAATAAATAAATAAAAACCAATATAAATTAAATAATAAAATAAAATAGAAAAAAATAAATTAAAACTATAATGAATCAAATGCAAATCCAAGAACTATTCTAACGCACAAATAATATAAAAAAAAAAAATATTAAATAATGTAAATATTATAAATAAAATAAATATAGTCAATCTATAAATATTAATATTAAAATAAATATTAAATAATAAAAATATTATAATCACTCTATAGAGGACACTACCCTCATATCTTACAAAATGATGGCACTGCCAGGCCTCTAAAATTTGCTTGATCTTGAAAACACTTAAACCCCCAAAGACCTCCAATAACCATCCCGTAATAATCATATTTGATGCCTCTATTAATACAGAAAAATGTACTATACTACTCCTTCATTTCCCATTCAATCTCAATCCCCAAATAACCAGACAAATCAATTCTTTTGCCGCCTAAACTGCGCGACAAATTTTCACTCGAAAATAAAGAATTTATTTCCCCTAAAAATATTTAATCAGCGGCACATTCCAAGACGAAAGAAAAACCCATAGAAAAATCTATGAGGCACTTAAAATTCGGTCTAGCCGCAGTGTCCGCCGCACACGGAATGAAAACCATTCCGTATTGAGGAAAAGCAGGAAAGGAATTTCCTCCGCTCCGACCAATAAATTATTTACCATGTATAAATCAAGGCAGAGCAGGAGGAGACGACCGAACGCGCACACGAAACTTGAAAACATGTTAAAGCCATTCAAAGATTTATTTGTAGTCCAAAGGAAGGGAAAGGAAGGGAAAGGAGTCCCATCAGGAGCTAGGGGCGAGGAGGGGAGCTTCCAAGTCCATTCAGGCCTCGTCCTGCAGTGAAATAAAATCTAGGAATGCCAGGAGAGCCAGGGCCAAAAGGTAAAGTTCCATTTTCAGGTGAAGATGTTACCCACGACGTTCTTTATTTTATTTTTAATTTTCACCAAAGAATATGTGTGTCAGGGCCCGTGCCCCGTGCCCCTACTGCCACTTCTGCCACTATTCCAAACAAAACTTGCACAAAACTTCATCGTCGTGGTCGTCGTCGTCGTCGTCATCGCTCCTCTGGGAGGCACTCCACTCCACTCCACTCGAAAGACGGTGGTTCGCATGTCTGGCGGTCTGCGAGAGTCTGCTCTTTGATTTCGTGGCAGATTTCAAGTGTTTAACTTCATGGATGAGGCACGGGGCAGGGGCACGGGGCAGGGACAGGGGCAGGGGCACGGGACTCCATGCAGTTTCATAATTTACTGCCTTGCCGGGAGTTGGAGTTTTTGGTATGGAAGTTTTTGGTTTTTTGCCATTAAGCAGTTGCATTAACCGCATCCCTCTTTTCAGCGGGTAGCACATCCTTCCTCCCTCTTGCACCCTCTTTCTGGCTTTAAATTGGAATCCCCTAGAAAATCCATCCCCCACACAAATATAAGAACCCGAAATTCCCAGCTAAAGCGCATTTAAAGCTCTTTGCCTTTCGGTTTCCAGAGAGTTTCGGCGGAAATACTTTATAAGACGATAATTGGCTTATGGGCGGGGGGTCTGCGGGTTGGAGCGTTTCAACAAAAATAAAGATATAAAGGAGTTTATTTTTAATAAGATTTTGAAAGAAAATTGAGATTATACTTATGTTGATAGGATGCCGCAGATGGGAGATGGGAGGAGATTTCCGAAGAGGAGGAGATGGAAGATTTCCCTGTAGATGGAGGGGAATTCGTGTAGGAGAAGGAGGATTCCTGTGGGAGGAGGAGGATTCCTGTAGAAGCTATAAGATCTCAGTCTCTCTAGGAACTCTATCCCCTTTCTTAGGGTCGGTTCTTCCAAAGTTAAGGCTCTCAAAATGACTTTCTTCTGTAGATAACGTAGCAATTATCCTGTTCTTATGTAGAATCTACAACTATAACCACATATACATTCAATTTCAAATAAAAACGACTCTTTAGGGCTCTGAATATCACCGTAAGGTAAGGCTCTCCAAATGGTTTTCTTTCGTAGATAAAGTAGTCGTAAAACAACTCTTTTAGGCCCTAAATATCATCCCTTTTTAGATGAAAAATTGAAAATATCACCTATTCCTCAGTTCCAAAGAAATAATCCCCCATAAAACTCGCACCTATCCCAATATCACCCACTAAAAGC